CGACGCTCAAAAGTCAGTTTTGGAGCGGAACTGTGCTGGACGCTGTGCTGGGGGCTGCCCACGCAGCATTATGAACAGTGAGTGCATTGTTAACCTTCAACGTGCTCTCTTCATACACTTTTTTTTTTTTTACAGAAGTACTGTGTAGATGAAACTGCCCTTTTGTGCTGTTGTTTGTGTGTAGCTCAACTCCCCACCTCCCTTTTGTGCTGTTGTTTGTGTGTAGCTCAACTCCCCACCTCCACCCAGTTGTGGAAAGAGTTGCTCTTTTTTTTTTTTGGAGGGGGAAAATATATGTAAATTGCTAAAGCCAGGCACAGAAAATCCAGGCAGTCCCACTGCTTTAAACCTTCAGGAGTTAGGATTATTACATGAGAGTGGAGTTAGGACTATTAAATCAAACTGCACCTAAAGCCCAAAGGTTGTACTTTTTGCCTCTCTGCTCTCTCCAGACATGAACAGGTACAGCCTCACCTTTTGTGCTGCAGCACTTGTAACAACGTGTGTTCCGGGCTCAGCTCATACATTTCTGCTCTTTCTTCATCTTCAAAATAGAGCTGAAAAAAATTTTGGGGGAGGTTATTAAATACTTAAGATACATAAAGACAAACTACTAAACTAAACTACTAAGTCCAGTAACAGGACACCATGTACTGACTAGAGGTTTCTCAAACCTCTGTAGCTTGAACCGGCTGCGTCGGGTACTAACTTCATCAAATGTAGAAACTATTACATGTAAATTCCAAGTCTTCCCTGTATAAACTGGTTTAGCTGCTTCTTCTTCTACAGGCTGCTCTTTAATGGGCGAAATACAGCAATGGTATGAGCTAAACTGAGTAAGTTTAAAGGTATTTGAACAAAATAGAGTAGATTTAAGAGATGTGAATCCAGCAACCGTGCCTTAGGCAGTACACACGCACACAGAGCTGTAATCCCAGTTTTTAATCTGCAAAGTACACATCCACTGTTCTTTTGAACCTGTCTGCTCGCTGCACTGAGGGTTGTGATGTTGCCTGGTACACGTGACACTGAAGCAGAAAATGAAAAATAAACATCTGTATCTTTCCATGCACAATCTCTGAAAAAGTCTCAAAACCTGCTGCAGCCACAACCAACTCACATCCCACCTCTGCTAAAGTCTTAATAGACATATATTGTCTTGATGGGATTAAATATTTAAGTACTTCCAGTTAGTTCTGAAACAAACCTATTTTTAAATAATATTTTCCCACTTGTATTGAGCAAAAAAAACCAGGCAACCTACCAGCTTGATGGTATCATCGCTACAAAAATGGGAAACTAAGCAATATCTATAAATACCTTCTATCAAATACACTGTAAATGGAAGACAAAAGAATTTTCATTTTCCTAATGCAGTTTGTGTCTGTGTCAGCACATGTGGAAAATGCTTGAGTTTGTGAGTGGATGTAGGTCTCCAGATCCTTATTTCACACCTCTGTACACAATACAGGTAACAATGACGTTGCTTTCATATGCTGAGACCTGTATATTTTCTCACTCCAGCAAAAGCACACAACACAATAACCCTGAAAGAGAAGGAAAGACAAACTTCTCACCTCAAGATTGCTGGGAACATATTTTCTTTCTAAATCCCAAGGAGGTAACTCAGCAAACATCACCATTAAGTGATCAATAAACCTAAAAGCCGAAACACAGTTGGGTTAGGCTAGACAAACCGTTCAGCTTCAGTAATTTGTACAGTTGCATTTGAACAACAGTAAAAATACATTAGCAAAGTAGACAATGGACTTGAAAGTTTAGATCACTAATAGTTTCTTCCCTTCAAACTCACTGGTCTCCCAGTGAGACCAAGGCCTTGCTGTAACTCACGCTATTGGCTTCAACCTGAGCAGCGCAACAACCGATTATTTCTATCTTTTCATTTTCACACTGAAAAAACTGTCAGAATAGACACCCTGCATTTCACCTAAAACTGATTTTCCTTCTACGTGGTCCCATCAGCAACAGGCCTCATCAGATGAGAGTGCTCAGAACATGCCTGTGTGTCAGAGGCTTGTTTATTTCGGTACATCTGGAGCGTTGGTGGCCAGTTTGTTTTAAGAATCCATTTTCACTTCCTTTGGTCATGAAAAGGCATAGTGAACACTACCGTACAAATTCCACATTTTTACTAATCTGCTTGCATTATAATTTAAAGTCCTACACTTATTAGTAGATCTTGGGAATACTTTTCTTCCCATGCTAAAAAAAAGTAGTTACAAATTCCAAAGTTTGTTTAACCTTGCAAGAATAGAAACCGAAGTTTACATTAAGAAAAGTGAGAAAAAATTCTCACCTGGCCAGTCACTTGCCCACAGCCTGGAAGGTCTGTAGCACTTTGTTCAGGCCTGCTGTAAGCCCTAAGCAGACTATGGGGCCACCGTAGTTATGAGAGGTCCCACTGGAAACTTTTTATAATTTCTTAGTTTAATTTTCTTTCCAAGACCCACATGTTTGGAGGACTTTGAGATAGCGCCTTAATGAACCTCTGAAACCCACGCATGGGATAGGTCACAGGTGTTATTGGCCACCAGTTCAAGCTTGCGCTGCAAGCTCCTGTAATCGCACTGGCTAGATGCGACACATTTCTCTGCGCCCTCATGTTTTGGCCCTCATAGATTTTGCCTGTCATATTTCAAAGCTACATTTGTAAAACATAGAATAATCCAGGATGGAAAGGACCTCAGGGGGTCACCTACTGCAACCTCCTGCTCAAAAGCAGGGTCAGCTATGAGATAAGAAAGCTGGAACTACTTTGTCAGCAGGGCAGAGCTTCACCTGCTGCCTGTTCTCACCTCCTTTTCTCATCTCCTTCATGCAAGCATGAGGCTGATGGTGCATTTACCTGGAGCTCTCGTGAAAAGCTGCAATGAAGTCTGTCTGCTCATGCTCAGGGTACAGAAAGAGGACAGGCCAGTTCAGGTTGCCATCAGCATCTAAGTGCACCTTGGCACCCATGGCATTGTTAGAGTGGAACCCATCTAAGGATATCTCGGCCAGACCATCTGATATTTCCTCTTCTTCATTTGAAGGCTCCAGAACCAGCTTGATATTTCTTTCCTGGAGGGGGAGGGAAAAAAAAAAAATAAAAAATCAACCAAAATCCAAATAGGTGTGGTGGGGAGAATAAAAGCAAAAAGTTAGCAGTCAGTTAAAGGACAGATTGTGCCTCTCTCATTAATGAGTCAACTCTAAAATGGGCTATCAAAAGCTCTCCTACAGTATGACTTAGGTGACCGGTCCTCCTAGCATCATCCAGAACCTCAGCCAGACACCCAGCCTGCCCATCGAAGAGAA